TTCAAATTCTATTTTACCTGATTTATATGCTGATGCATTTAGTCCGTTGGTGCATCTAGGATTTTGCATTATAATATCTACAAAGTTTATAACCACATGAGATGCATCTTTACACTAGCTCAACTAATTGAATCGAAACAAAAACCAATAATTAAATATAAATTTTTTCTTTCCAAATTTAGTCCATAAAATCCTTCCTTTCACGTTGAAAAAATGTTTGACACTATGCTTTTTTATTCCTGAAGTTTTAAGGCTTTATTGCATCATGGTGTGAAGTCTTTGTATGCATTACCCATGGTATCTCATTGAGGATTTATTTTTCCCCACTATTCATATAAAATCAACAAGGCTTTTTTAGAATTAGGAAGTCTGTCAGGTTCAAGGTGGATAATTTCATTGCACACTGACAGTAATCAGACTTCTACAGGAGTGTATCATGGATAGATATATCTATTGCTTCTTCAGCAAAAGATAAAACTTTAGTTATTTAATTTAAATAAAATAAACCCTCCTTTCAGGCGCATCTAGGATTTTGCATTATAATATCTACGAAGTTTATAACCACATGAGATGCATCTTTATCCTAGCTCAACTAACTGAATTGAAACAAAAACCAATAATTAAATATAATTTTTTTCTTTTCCATATTTAGTCCATAAAATCTTTCCTTTCATGTTAAAGAAATGTTTGACATTATGCATTTTTATTCCTGAAGTTTTAGGGCTTTATTGCATCATGTGTGAAGTCTTTGTATGCATTACCCATGGTATCTTATTGAGGATCCCCCCCCCCCACCCCACTATTCATAAAAAAATTGTAATTAGGGGCCCCCCCCCCCACCCCACTATTCATAAAAAAATTGTAAAGAAGAAAGATTTGAAAGCCACATTAATTTGATTTGAAATAATGGTGACCTCTTTTGTTCGCTTCTTTTACATTTTTTAGCAATGAAGGATGTGATTGATTATAGTAGTTGTTAATTGATTTATCTTTTGAAAATTGAAATACATTGGAAAGGATGCTACTTAACACATGACATTTCAACTACAATGCTATTTTTAGGATAGTTATCAAGGTTGTTAGCATAATCAGTTGATATGTGCTACTAGTTTTTGCCAAATGATTATATTTTCTCCATACTATTACCATTTTTTTTGTGTAGCATTTTTGTAGAGCCATCCGCCTTATATTGTGGAAGAGTGACTAAATTTGTTCCTCTCGTGTAACATGGGATTGATTGAAAACTCTATATTCTCTACCCAGCACAGCACAATATTCTTACTTTCTAAAATTAAATCAAGTTTTTTGCTCATTAATTATCATTTATCCGAATGAAAGCCAGTTCTGCTAGCTTTCATTCTGCTCTGATATATGCACTTTTACCTTGACATTGCCTAGCATTTGAGTTGCTTCATATGTATTTCAAACTCTAGGCGAATGTTTTGTAGATTCTGGATAATTTATTAACGTTTTCGTTTTCGCCTGCCAGCTCTCTATCAGAATTTGGGGTTTTGGGATTTGAATTAGGTTACTCGATGGAAAACCCCAACTCTCTGGTATTGTGGGAAGCCCAATTTGGTGATTTTGCCAATGGAGCTCAGGTGATTTTCGATCAATTTCTCAGTAGTGGGGAGTCAAAATGGCTGCGGCAGACTGGATTAGTTGTTCTTCTACCTCATGGTTATGACGGCCAAGGCCCTGAACACTCGAGTGCCCGTTTGGAACGTTTCCTCCAGGTGCTACCCTTTCCTTGTACTCACACTTGCATGTATACCTTATATATGAACTGCATTGCATGTAGTCTTTCTCCTTAATTTTTTTTTTTTACTTTGGGGGATTATATTTCTAAGTGTCTACTCCTTTTCTTTTACCTTTTCTGTTCTATGGGTATATGGATGTGCTTTCTCTGTGTGTGTGTGTGTGATCCCGGGGAAGGGTGTATGGGTGCGTGGGTTAGTGAAGGAAATATTAGTGCCACAAAAATTAACCACCCCATTTCACCTCATATATCAAATTTTCGAACTTACATTAATGAAGTAACTTTATGTTGGAATTGGTACTCTATATCTACTTTTGTTCCATGTGTTTTGTATATCTGCTTCACCACATACAATCAAGCAGTTCTGATACGACCTCTTGACATCTAGGGGAGGGTTAAATGAAGAAATCATGTATATCTTTGTTTTTTGATTTCTCTGGTTTCAATTGTTAACTTTTGGACTTCTTATACATTTAAGTTATACCTATCGTGATTATCATATTTTCAGCCACATCACAAGTTTTTTGTTTATGCCTTTAGTTCACTACAATTGGTTGCTTGTCCAAGAAATTGAATTTAACCCATCACATTATAAATTTTGATTTCAGATGAGTGACGACCATCCTTATATTATCCCTGAGATGGACCCTACCCTTAGGACACAAATACAGGAGTGCAATTGGCAGGTGGTGAATGTCACTACTCCTGCAAATTATTTCCATGTTTTGCGGCGTCAAGTAAGTAGAACTAACTGGGCATATATTTGTGGTCTTCTATAGGTTGTCTTGATTTTCTTATCTTTCACATCTTTATGCCCCAGATACACAGGGAATTCCGCAAGCCTCTCATTGTGATGTCACCGAAGAACTTACTTCGTCACAAAGACTGCAAGTCAAATTTATCTGAGTTTGACGACGTTCAAGGCCATCCAGGATTTGACAAACAAGGGACCAGATTTAAACGCCTGATAAAGGACCAAAATGATCACTCAGATCTTGAAGAGGGAATTAGACGTCTGATTCTTTGCTCAGGAAAGGTGTGAAAAACTTTTCTGTTTTTCCCGTCTTCCATTTTTTCTTCACTAATCCTTAGTTATTTCTTTTTCCCCTGTTTGGGTACATCATTGTACAAATTTTTATGCACATAAAGCATTTTTGCTTGCTGTGCAGGTTTATTACGAGCTTGATGAGGAGAGGAAGAAAACAAATGGAAAGGACATTGCAATTTGTAGGGTGGAGCAGCTTTGTCCCTTCCCTTATAACCTCGTCCAGCGGGAACTTAAACGATACCCAAGTATGTCTTTTACATTGACAATTGTATTATCCTGTTCGAAGTTTTTCAATCCATTTTTTTATTTACTCGTAACGTGTAAGCCAATCCATGCTTTGTTGGATATGAGAAACACCATCAAGATTGTCTCAACTAAATTTTATTTAGGCACAAGAAAAATAGATACAAGATGAATGAAGCTGCATTCAAAGACAGTTTTTCTGGCCACCGGGACTAAATTGACTCATCTTGCCAACTCATTTTGGTTTTATTTCTTTGTTGATTCTTTCAGATGCAGAGGTTGTTTGGTGTCAGGAAGAGCCAATGAACATGGGAGCTTACAGTTACATTGCGCCTCGTCTACATACTGCTATGAAAGCACTGGGAAGGGGCACTATGGAGGACATCAAGTATGTTGGCCGTGCTCCATCTGCTGCCACAGCTACCGGTTTCTACCAGGTTCATGTCAAAGAGCAGACCGAACTAGTTCAGAAAAGTGTACAGCCTGATCCAATCGAATCTCCATAATCTCTCAGTGGTCAACCAATGAATTTCAAAGAGAAATTTCATGTTAAGAAATTTTTTGAGCACTTCAGTTTCTGTTGGTTCTTTTGAAAGGTATTTCAAGAGATGCTATTTTGTTTGCTGACATCAATTTCTCACATAAAATGAATAACGCTTTAGAATTTTCTTCAGTTTGGTACTACTAAAGGTGAGAATAAAATGTACTGAATTGATAATGATCCTTGAGAAGGTAACCTTTCTTTATACTAAGGATTCGTTTGATTGACTTCAATTCTATAAAAAATGTCACATTTGAGGAATTCGTTTTCTATTTTAGCTGATTGATGCGAAAGTGGAAATGGAGTTCGAATTCTAAGGTACAAACACTTGAAGTATAGTTTTGGCCAATTGAGTGGAAAATGCATTTATATGGTTTTGGTTGGTTTTTCTTTTCCAACTTACATAGAATTGGTTTGCCTTTTTCACTTTCGCAATCATACAGGCTTAAGAGTTCAATCTTTAAGATGTAATAGAATCAAACTGATTAATTAGCGTATGGTTGGTTTAGTTTTCCATTTTCAATTTAGGTTTCAAAACGATTTTTAGTTTTCCCAAAAAAAGGCGCGTTTTAGATGTTTTTCGCGTTTTGAGAATTTATAACTATGAATGCCTAAAACAATAAAAAGTCGTTTTGCATTTTCAGTTATAAATTTTAACTCGTTTTTGAAAATGCATTTTCAAAAACGACGGACCAAATGCGTATTTCGCGTTTTCGAAAAAAGAAATCGAAAAATGGCTCGAAAACGTCAAATCAACCGCAGTCTTATTAATTGTTTGAATTGATGGAATTGAAACTTAAATAAAGGTTAAACAGTTAAATATATCATAGAGCTGTAATTTCTGACATCATAATACTAATTTCATAGCATCCATTACTATTGTCATTAATTATAGCATTAAATTATCATCATAATGTTTTAATTACATATCAAGTCATCACTATAACATTATTATCAATATATTAAAGTGGATCGTCTTAACTATGCTTACGAGAAAAATATCATTTGGATCGGACCTAATATCAAATTGCGTCAAACTATCTTTTAAGCTTGATTTAATTCGATTATTTCAAAAGTCACAAGAATTGAGACGAGGTCAAAAAAGAAATACCTAACTAATATTCCTAATTCAATAGGATATGAATATCTAACCCATGTTTGGTAGAGATTAAAATTAAATTTTTCGTAAATACGTAGTTGAAAAGTTGATTCCATAAAATCTATAGTTAAAACTAATTATTAACTTAAATTAAAATTTTAATATCTACCAAACATAGTCCTAATATCCATATAATAGGAATATGGTATCCCAATTATCCGCCGATGCAGATGGCCCAATGTTAACGTACGCTGCAGGATAGATTTCAGTTCAGTTACGAACAACTTATTTAGAATATTAAAAAGAAATAATTAATTTCGGCAAATAATTTTCCCAATAATAAAAATATTAACAATAACAAAATAAATCGAGGTAATTAAAGTATATATTAATGGCAGAAACTCACAAACAACGCTCCCTTTTTACTCCATCCCCGGAATCACAACAGCACACAGGTTCCTCTCCTCCCCCCATAAATGCTGTATGTATATGTGTAAATGTAGTTACATTGATGAATTGGTTGAGTGGGCGTTTTGATTATGTATGTGAATTGTGAAATTCGGTGTTGCAGGCGAGGAAATTGAAGGGGGGGAGATCTGATGTACTTGCTTCCGGATCTCTACATACTGCTTCATGAAGGTTGCCGTAGAGCATAAAGGTATTTCTGTCCAGTGCCCCTTTCTCTGTGTGAATAGATGGGTGTGGGAGTGTGAGCGTATGTGTAAGTATTGTTTCGAATTGTATTGATTGAACAATTTTCTAATTTTTATTATTCGTCTGACAGCGTGGAGTTTGTTAAATTTAGACGAGTAATTAATTTTTTTTTTTTTTCTGAATTTTGATTTTACTTTTTTACGCTTTTTAGTTGTCACGTCGATTGAATTTGTGTTTGTTTTTTCATTTCATTCTTTCTGGAAAGAATATAAAGGGATGATTTTTGTTCATAGTTTGCGTGTTCTTTCTATCTGGAAAAGACTAGAAACAAATGATTTTTGTTCATAATTTGCGTGCAGCAAGATTAGAACTTTCCGTGTTTGTATGTTATAGTAATACTGAGATAGGGGCTAATGCGTATGTGGATCAGACTGACCAAAAAATATTTACTCAGAAATCCTGATGAGGGGGAGGGCTATGATTCACCGCGATCATGATTGTATAAATTGTGTTGGTTTTGTGTCCTAGCTTCTGTGTCCGTTCAAACCATAGATGTGATTATTATGATTGTAAGTCATAGTGAGGGCTTCACCTGTACCTCTGAGGGGTGGAACTTGGAAGTAAAGCCTGTATTGGTTATAAAAGAAAGACCTATTTACATGAGATGTAAGCTTGCAATACAAAGGAAACTGAAATACTGGAATACAATTTGCTAGAAGGAAAAAGTTATTAGTTAACAAGAGTCAAGAAGAAAGCATTTTTTTTAGCTGGTGCAGCACTGTACTTCATATTATGTCATAAGATATATCTAGAATACTAGGGCAAGGAGTTTTGAGCTATGCAGCCTAACCTCTTTTAGTAATCAGCAATTATATACGAGTTTTGGGAGGGATAATGGTTTATGGATTGATGTCTTAGTCCCATGCACTTATTTTGGTGTGTGATAGGAAGCATGTCAAATATTTTGAAGTGCACTGCACGTCCTGTAAGTTTAAAGCTTCCAGGGATTTTAACAATTGATCTGGCTTTCCCTTTTTGTATACACTAGTTGGCATTTTCAGTGGAATGCTTGTGAGATGAGATGATTGTGATTTGTGATGCAGGCTACAAAATCTAGAAAAAGAAAGTTTAAATGATCTTTGGATGAATGGAGACTTGTTTGGAGAAGTTCTGCATCTCAAATCACCTTTAGAATTGAAATGGTATTACTAAATTACCTTTAAATTTAAATTCAAATGTTTTCATGTCAAGGACTTTTGTAAATTTAGAAAATATGTAATACACAAACTCTGGAAACCACTGTTATTACATAGGAGCCTACTCATTTAGATTCTGTTTTAAAGTCATCAGAGTTAATACATTAATAATTTATCAAATTAGAATTTGAATCGTGCTACGTTTTGGAGTCTATACTTCCTATCATGAGATCGTTGTGTTGACACTATACTTCCTAACGTGAGAGTGTTGTGTTGACACCATTCACCGTTTTTGGGCTTCAAGGCAATCCCTTCGCTAGATCTGGTTTGATCCCTGCAAGGGCAAAGTTCTCTCTCTCTTCTCTTCTCCTTCTATTATTTTCTTTTTCTAAGTTTAAATAAGACAAAACCGAAAACAGCTACTAATATTCTCTTCTTTGACCAGTAAACCTTTATGCATCCAAAATTACTAAAAAATATATGCCCACTGCAAATTCTTAAGGGGTATGAGACTGGAATGAATATTTTTATTTATTTTTTTGGATCATGAAACAACGCAAATGATTTTAGAAGATAATAAAAAAATTAAAATTAAAAAAAAAAAAAAGAAGAAACACTACAATACCAGTAATAGTAGCATAATTTCATTAAAAAGGAAAGGGGAATGTTAGAATGGCTCACATTCTTGGTTGCAAAGCACTCCACTCTTTGTCAGCCAAATGGTTGTAAGAGTAGCTGTAGACGTGTAAGATGTGCCATGTAGTCCAGGCCCAGCACATCATCAATCCATGTGGAAGTCTTTGGGCTCTCTACATTTAACCACAAGGCCTACTGGGGCATAGTAGTGTGAAGGCAGACTGGGAGGACCCACTTTACCCCTCTAGTTTGGTGCTTTCATGGATTCGATGTTATATGACTTGAAAATACATACGGAAAACTACAGTTTGCGACAATATTGTTTAGAATCAATTTTGAGATTGGCATTGAGGTTATGTGTCTTAGAGATGGTGGGAAAATTGAGCTGGGATGTAAATGTAGGACACTAGCCATGGTATCTTATTCCTGATCCATCTCATCTTGCTGGAGTTAAGAGGGAAGATTCTACTTGAAATACTAAAATATTGATGCTAGTTGCCAAAATAATTCTTTTAGTGTTTCTATATGTCAGCTGCCACCCTGCGCTACTACACACTTTGCATTGCAACTAAAATAATTCAGCAATAAGATATCGCAGGAAAAGAAAAAATCTAGTTTAACAAATATACTCATTGTAGGCAAAAATGGGGAAGATATGAATTCACACATATATAGATAATAGGGTAAATATGTATCGATAAAATGAAACACAAATTCTACAGATGGATTGAGCCAAATAATATTACCCGAAGCCTTTATAGTTTCTGTAGCACATCTGATCCGAAACAAAAGATAATAGTACTTTTGTTATATTATTATCTTTTTACCTAAAAATGAACAGACCATGACAGCAAGATATGCTATCTGTATTGGTCTATGGCTTAATTTTGCTGCACTTATAGGACAGAGCCCTGGGTTTTTCCTTTTAGGACCTTCATTGAGAGGACAAACTAGAGGTGGATGGAGAGGAGTTAAAACATCATCATCTTGATTTCCTTCCAAGCCCCAATACTTAAGTGCAGACTCTGGCAAACTTTGCTGCAAAGCCAAAAAAGGGTCCCCATAAATGGCAAACAATCTCTCTGTAGAAGTGTAGAATGTGAAACTAGTGGTAGTGAATGGTGATTATATTTCATTCACCTCCAGTGACAAACATTGGGGTGGGGGTGGGAATTCGTGTGGCATGTTTGGTATTTTATATTGGACCATATTGAATAGGATTGGAGAAGTAAAATAAGTTTAATTTTTATCCTTATACTATCCACTGATGTCAAATACTGCTTATCAAACATGCTTGTGGGATCTATGCTGCTCATACTTTATTTTGGTCCCTGGGAAATCATGTTCAAAATTACCAATCTCTCGCTGAGATAACTTCTCATTTTATTTAGAACATAGCCGACTTCTGACAAAAATATGGAATAGATTGATGAACATATATGCTCCATATCCCAGTAAAATTAGATTGATAGCACTTGCCTCAGGGAAGAGCTTATATGATTTCTTATATCGTCCGAACCATCACTCTTTGAATTCTGATTTTAATATTTTCATGATATTTTATTTTTTGAAATGCAGATACCATGGAAAGAAACTGTGAGGCATCCATAAAATGCTTCCAGAACAAGGGTTATCCTTGCACTCTGTATTTTAATGGTAACTCTCTTGAAGGCTTTCCAGGGATCCAAGAGAGCATCTATGCTCACCCAGGTGGAACTGTTACAAAACCAGAGGCCACATTAAGCAGCAAGCCTCCTGAATCTTCTGAAGAATCTAAACAAAGAGATGTCAGTCATCATGACTTTGGCTCATGGTCAGCCTTCTATCCCGATTCTAGTAATGTGCTGACGCACCAACCTAATGCCTTTGAGGGACGGTTCTACCCATTTGCAATAAATTATCAATTTCAGTATACCCCGTCAAACATGTTTCCTCCAAATTATCCACATGATTACTGCTTCCAAGATTTTCAATACTTTATTGTTATTGATTTTGAGGCGACGTGTGACAAAGAAAAGAATCCTCATCCACAAGAGATAATTGAGTTCCCATCAGTAATAGTGAACAGCATTACTGGACAGTTGGAAGCATGTTTTCAAACATATGTGCGACCAACTTGCAACCAACTCCTGAGTGATTTCTGCAAGGATCTGACAGGCATCCAACAAATTCAGGTTTGTTTTGAATGTATTTCAATCATTTTGTTCGTGCTTGTCGAGAGAGAGAGACAAAAAAAGTTACTGAAGGTGATACCCATATAAGGCTAGTAGATTTCCATTGAGAGAGAGAGAGAGAGCATATACTGAGATGGATTTCTTCAGGGGGAGAGAGCACATATTGAGATCGTTTCTTCGGTCCAATACTTTCTTGGTTACGCTTCAAATTCATTGTGGAAGAAAATTCACAAGGCTATATTCCAGGCATAAAACCACGATGGTGTGCAGTGTGCTACTTGGCTTGAATAGCTGTTCCCATGATTCTTTGCTTTTCTGTCATTCCTTTCATCAAGGTTTAAAAAACTCTTAAATCTATCAGGGTCACCCTATCAGGAGACTTACCTCATTTTTTTTATTAATAATAAAGCCACTCTTTTGGATTATGCAGTCCAATTTAGAAAGCCTGACTGAGCATTTATTATTGAATCTGTTCTTGAACTTTTTAAATTGTAGAATACACATCTCCACCTAGCCACTACGAAGGAAATGAAAATAGAAACACCGTAAAGTCACCCACATTTGATAAAGATTACCTGTATTTTTTTTATCCATACAATTCACTCTTGACAGTCCCTTAGCACTTCATATTCTCGTTATAATCTGTTTTGAGTATATAATATTTTTACGTGAGAATCTAGCTTTTTTCTTGGACAAATTTAGTTTAGTCACAAGGAAGCTGTTTCTTTAACAGTCAATTTCAGTGTATTGGTTATTAGAAGTTGACAGCTCTAGGGCAACTATGATTCCTCATTGAAAAAAACGTTTTCCTGGATGATTAAAGCAATGGGTGATTGCCATAAATGTAGAAGTACTATAATATATTCTGCAGTGTAGAACATCAAAGAAATTTTCCTCTTGCTGGTGAAGGAAAAAACTACACAACACTTGAAGTCAGATCTTAATAGATTTTTCAGCTAATAGGATTAAAACATGCTATGTCTTGCAGTCATTTGCAGTTAACTGGTTATTAAGAGACGGCAGTTTTAGAGTAACTTATTCTATAGTCCTCATTGAGAGAAATATTTTCTATGATAAACAAAGCAATGGGTGATTCCTATAAGTGTAAAAGTACGATATATGTTTTGTCTGCAGTGCAGAATATCCAAGAAATTTTCTTCTTGCTGGTGAAGTAGTTGAAAAAACTACACGACACTTGGAGTGAGATCTTAATAGATTTTTCAGCTAATATGCTAAAACACATGCTATGACTTGTAGTCACTCTAGGACCAAAGACTCAGAGAAATGAGATTGATATGAGACAATGAGCTTAGATGGAATCTTGAGAAAATAATTTGGTAGCTGTCAAGCTGATTACCCAAATTCCATTTTGACTGGTGAAAAATTTGCCAAGTAGTTCAGATGTCGGTATGTTTTGTGAACTTAACCAATTATGTTCTTCATACTGTCTGATGCTATCCTTTATCCTGAGTCCTAGTTATTTAGTGTCGACTGTAAATTTTGTGGAACTTGTTCTCATATGACTGTTTGGCTTTACTAGGTGGACAGGGGTGTTACTCTGAGTGAAGCTCTTCTTAGGCATGATAAATGGCTTGAGAAGAAGGGGATTAAGAACACCAACTTTGCTGTGGTTACGTGGTCCAATTGGGATTGTCGAGTAATGCTAGAGTCAGAGTGCCGTTACAAAAAACTTAGAAAGCCTCCTTATTTCAATCGGTAAATTTCTGGTACTCATTTAAATGCTTGCCATCAAAATTTAAAACTATTCTCTGCCATCTACATTCTCTTATTTTTATACGAAATATGTTATGTCCGTAGGCATTAACATGTATTTCCCTCTCTTTGCCCAGATGGATCAACTTGAAGGTTCCTTTTTGTGAGGTTTTTGGTGGGGTGAGGTGCAATCTCAAGGAGGCGGTCCAGATGGCTGGTCTGTCCTGGCAAGGTCGTGCGCACTGTGGTCTAGATGATGCCAAAAACACTGCCCGCTTACTTGCATTGCTCATGCACAAAGGCTTTAAATTTTCAATTACTAACTCGCTTACTTGCCAGACCATTGATGATTGCTATACTCGGAAGCCATCCCAGGAACAACAGCCTTTTTCTGCATCACCTCAACCTCAGAAATTGAGGGAATTGCAAGCTCCAGTGGTGCACTACCATCCTTTTTGTTATTGTGGGGTGAAAAGCAGCAAAGGGATTGTTCGTAAACCAGGTCCTAAGCAAGGGAGCCTGTTCTTTGGGTGTGGAAACTGGACTGCTGCTAGAGGTGCTCGATGCCATTACTTTGAATGGGCTTCTACCTGACTCAGATTATTCTGTCCATAAAATGAGCAATTCTATCGTTTGTCAGGCCAAAAAAAAAAGAAAAGAAAAAAAGAATTGGATGTCCGTTGCCTTCTGGTTAGGTTTCTGCTTCTCTTCGAGGGACATGTAGATAGTTGGCTCTGATGCTAGAGACGGGCGATCTAGCCACTCTAGATGACTTCATGTTGACAAAAAATCGAACGTTATATATGCGAGGTACCAATAGTGCTTTGTTGCTTGCTTAATTATCGTTAATAATGTGTGAAATAGGGTATGTAATTACAATGAGAACGACCTCTGTTTAAATGGGTTTGAGTGCTTATTTCTGATCAATTTCCATTTACTCAGCCTGGTTGTCTTCCGTCCAACACACAGCAGTTTTAAATTTTCAGCCCGAAACTTGGGTGCATTGTGGTCTCCTCAATATCTATATTATGTAGAACCAGTCACTGGTCCTGTCCGGATCATACTAATGGACCAGTTGACAAGTGAACCGGTCAAAGACCCACTGATATCCACCCGGTACAGATGAGTTTTTGGAAGGAACTGGGACTGGTTTGTAAATGCCTTCAAAAGATTTTTCTTTCAAAATGAGTAATTTTTTGGAGTATAAGTGGTTGAAAAGTAGGAAAAATTTTAAATTTACTTGCAAAATATTTTATTGTATGAATATGTGTTCGAAAATAATTTTGAGAAAAAAGAGTACTGAAAAAATGGAGGACAAATATTGAAGACAAAATATACAAATATAGGTAAAATATATAAATATTTAGCACGAAATGGAAATTATTGTTATTAATTATGATAATAAAAAAATGAACTACTTGGAAAAATTATTGTTTCAAAAACACACTAATTAAGTAAAATAAACAAACAAAAAAATGGGTTATCAAAAGTGTCGTGTTTTAAAAAAAAAAAAAAAAAAAAAAATAAGAAAAGCAGTTCGCATTATTTAAAGAGTTCATCAAATGATACCTTCTAAAATTGTTAAATGTAATAAATGAAAATATGACATCATGCAGTGTAATAAAATAAGAATTTGCAGTCACTGAACAAGAACTACTCGGAAAAAGTGCGAATATTGGTGCTAGATTACAACACATTCAAGTTCTCTCTGAGATTATGCATTATGCAAAGTATGACGATTACAGATAAATAAACTTTTCAAAATAGAATTATTGAACCAGGAATAGCGCTGATCATTTTGGTTCTAGCGATCCATTGACTTTCTCCATGATCTCTCATATCTTCTGCAATCATCAACACACGATCAGAAGGTTGAGTTTAAACACCAACA